GCTGGAGTTTGGGACTTGCTGCCCCTTCCCTGGAGCCCTCTGGAATCGCCTGTTCCCGGAGTTTTCCGTGTTCCCTGGGGCAGGGCTGGTTGTTACCACTGAACAAAGAGCTTTGTTTGACTCCTCAGCTCTCTCCTTCTTTTAGAAACAAACTCCACCTGTGGAGAGGAAGCTGGAGGGATCCAGACTCCAAATGTTTCTAATCCTCAGGTAGGAAAACTTCTGCTTTCTTGTCTCCAACTTTTGGGGAGCTTTTGTGAAGCTTCTTTTCCTCCTTTAATGGTGACTAATCTGCTAAAGCCTCACTCAGCATTTCCAGCAACAAAATTCCTTTTTACACCCTCTGCTCTCTAAATGTCCATTTTTTTTTGTTGCTGTCACAGCAAAAACTTCATTTTCAGGTCTCAGGAAGCTCTTGAAGTGTTCCCTGGAGTGTTGTTGAACAGTTAACAGCTTGACTGAACCCAGAAAACTTCATTTAACGGGCGGAAAACTTTATTCTCTGATTTCAGGTGGATCATTTGGCCCAAAAGACGTCTGAGCTGGTTGTGTCAGAGAGCAGGACGAGGAGTGGGAAGATCTTTCAGAGCTGCCTTGTCAGTACCACCTTGTTTTTCTTCAGTTCTTCCTATTTTCTGTTCTTTTGCTGTTCCAAGCAGTGGAACGAAACCCCGAGCTTGATTTATGAAACTCCCATCCCTAAATTCCCACGGAATTTGGGAGGAGGAATTCTGTCCCCAGGGGTCCCAAGCTGGTGACACAGGTTGAGGGAGATCCTTTGGGTTTGGTTTCTGTCCTCCTGGGAATGCTTCCAGCCAAATTTCCTGCTGGTTCAATCCCTCCTCGATGGGAGTCTGTGCCAGCAGAGACTTCCAATGTGTGCTTCCTGTGGATTTTCCTTGGGAAAAAAAAAAGGCCAAAATCCCTGGAGAGTGTCCCAGGCCATGTTGGAGCAACCTGGGAGAGTGGAGGTTGTCCCTGCCCCTGGTCCCTCCCAAACCATTCCATGATTCTGTGATTCCCAGGGATTTTTCTTACTCGCTGGTGTGATAAAAACCATGGAATGGGACCCTGGATGGGAACAGACCTTGGAATCAGGGAATGGTTTGGGTTGGAAGGAGCCTTAGAGCTCATCCAATCCCACCCCCTGCCAGGGGCAGGGACACCTTCCACTGTCCCAGGTTGCTCCATCCTGGCCTGGGACAATCCCAGGGATGGGGCATCCATGGAATAACCTGTGCCAGGGATCCCCAACCCTACAGGGAAGGATTTCTCCATCTCTCCAACCAAAATTCCCCCTCTTTCAGTCTGAGCCCATTCCCTTTGTCCCACACTGCAGTTCCTGATGGACACATCCCAACAGGACACATCCCAACAGGACACATCCCAATAGAGACACATCCCAACAGGACACATCCCAATAGAGACACAT